CCAACTCTTGTTCTGTTGGGTCGGGTTGTCTAAGGAGACAACGCCGCCTGGTTTCTTCGAGAACATATCTCCGCATCCTCTGTTGTTGGTCGCTATCATCACCTAGCTTCTTGAGTTCAGCCTCGATTTTGGCTAGTTTCTGGTGTTCCAAACGTTTGGTAGCAGCGGGGGTATTTCGAGGATGAGGTATATCCTCTTTTTCAGGTGGAAGATTGGTGTTGTTTTGTTTCTTTGGATCGGGCTGAGAAGCGCCAAGAACCAAACGCTCCTTCGTCTGTTCTTTCCCAGGTTCTCCACCGCGGCTTTTTCCTATCTTTCTTTTTTCTTGCCAGTGTTGGAATTCAGCCAGGGGAGTATGCCGTGCTGCCGGCGTCTTCTTCAACTCTGACCATCGTATCAATTGTTCCGGCAACCCTAGTTGTTATAAAAGATGTTAGGGAAACCTGAGAAGGTTTCTGTGACACAAACCCTAATTTTTGGGTCCCACTGGGCGTGTGACGATGCTTGGATATGCACCGCCTGTTTAACGGTGGAACTCCGATTAGGGTTACCTGCAAAACAGAGCCTCGGGGTGTTCCGATGGTAGACACTCCGATGCTTAAGTCAGTAAAGAAAGGTTGCTACAAGGTTTAGGAAGGTAGTTTGTTCGGCTATAGATTGCGTACCTGAATTGTGGTATGAGCTACCCTATTTATAGGTGTGAGATTACCTGGACAATTCCCGAATCCTACTAGGTTTTAGGAATTTACACCGCCCTAAGAGTTCCAGTTGGACTCTTCCTACTGTGGGTTGGCCGGTACAGTCTCGGTGATGGATCTGGACTCGTCACTTACTCACAATTTACGCACCTTCTTTCATAAAACCAACTTCTCCTTTGGTAAACCTAAGCACTCTTTTCCTGATCCCATCACCTTCGTTGGGCCCATTAGGAGATTTTGGGTCTAAGCCTTTTGGCATTTGGCCTTCTGGTCCAGTTGAGTATCCATAAGTGATTCTGGGTATTGTAGTCAAAATGTGTCTTCTTTTTAGAATACGGCGTAATACCATAAATCTTACTACAGATTAACAAACGAAAAATTCACCACCCAAATTAACAAGAAGACATGACTCTTTATATCACAGCTACATATTTTTGGAGATATTACACACCCGGTCTCCGAATTCATTGCTCCGACTAATCCGGATTCGAGATGAGTAGGTTTCTTTTGGGAGATAAAACTCTCCTTACAAGTATTTTAATCACTGATACATGCCTATGCCCGGGTTTGAACCCGGGTCATAGTGAAACGAGCCTAATACCTTTATCCCTTGGACCAAGTGCTTGTTGGTAACTAACCTTCAACTGGGGATTCGTGCCTCTCATGTGACAGTACAACTGGATCCTCATTAGAAGGATCTGTCTCAGACACATCCTAGTTCTGTAAGGTCATGACAATAAAATATGGGCTAGCTAGGCTCATCATTTTCCTACTTTAGGTGGGCTTGAGAAACTAATGGTATAATGCCAATTGACTTCATCAAGTAGCAAGGGAAACACAACGAAGAACTAAACTTCGGATGCGGGTTCGTGCTTCCCCCGTGAGAGTAAACAGGACCCTCAATGGAATCATCAGTCTCTGACACATCCTGGTCAGTACCTACAAGGTCATGACAATTAAATGGCAAACATAAATGAGGGTACTGAATCCATCATTTTCCTCCATTAGGTGATGTTCATAAGTGAAGATTATAATGCCAATCCAGCTTATTAGGAAGTATAGGAAAGATAAAGATGTACTAACCTTCAACAACATAAAGGAGACCTACTTCATAATTAAGAAACAAACATATAAAGGCTTCAACCAATTTCCTTTATACTCTTAAACAAACATATTTTTTGCTCACAGTGGTCACAAAAATTTGAGTCAATTCGATGATTAATAAAATCGACCAACATACTAATCAATCCTCTAAACCTACAACTACAATTCCACATAAATAAAAGGTTAAAAACAAATAAGAGAAAAAAAAGGTAAAACGCATACCTGAAATGTCCAAGAAAATAAGAGAAATAAGAGAAAAGAAATTACCATGGGATTCGTCTCTGGGAGTCGGATCTAGACTTAATTTTTTGATTTAGAACAAAAAAATAAAAAATCCTGATATCAATATCAAAGATATAAAAATAAAACAAATCTTATAAGAGTCCAATTTTATTAGCTGCCTCAAATAAAAATAGTTTGAGTAACAAATTAATATCAAATAAATTATTTAAATTGATACTTTTCGTGTTAATTTATTTAGTGACATTAACCACATGTACGATTATGGGTATTGAAATGTGTTAATCAAAGAAGTACAGACATTTGAAGGGGGGTGTTTAATAGAACGTTGGATATGGTAAGATATAACTAGGTTTTGGACCCGTGCATTCGCACAGGTTTGGGCTTTTTAAGACGTAATGGTCCATTTTAAGACGTAAATGAAGCATAAAGTAATATATGATGCAAAAATATGTATATTTATTTTTATATTTTTCTAAAATTATACGAACAAAATTATGCCTAATGGTGCATCTTTTTTGTCAAATATTAAATATCCAATCCTGGCTTTTCTTTTACAACTTTTTTGGAGACAAATCATTGTTGTAGAATCTTTTAACTATATGCAAGAACAAAGATTAGCGAAAAAAATCTTTGATCTTACCACTAATTATCGAACAACTGCATCACTTGAAATTTTTGAACATGCTACTCAAGAAAATTTTAATCAGATATAAGAGCACTCATCATAAGTTTGAAATATTTTGTTTCATCTTTTCAATTGTTCTCATGAAATACCTTGGAATTTGATATTGTCCGTTGCCATATGAAAAATATCTTTATTTTCATAAAACTTATAGGATTTTGTTTCGGAACGACTAAAACATTAAATTTTAAACGAAAAGAAAAACCTGAATACAAAGGGTCATAAAAAGACAAGAAAATTAAATGGAACTAATCTCCTTGATGCTGCTTGTTCTTGGAGTTTGCCAATTCCAATCGATCGAAGAAGAAGACGGGACTAGCAAACCACAAACTGTGTTTTACACCTTGCATTTCGAAATTATTGTTTAGTTTCGATTTTAATTTTTTGTGTAAATTGAACTAAAAGTAAAAATTCAACTGCATAATAATTTCGGGACGGAGGGAGTAGAACTTAAACCTAAAATAAAGTTTGTTTGAGAAAAATATAAATCCAAAAGGCAAGACAAATAGATTGAATTTGCTGAGATTTTCTGGAGTTTTCTACGATTTGATAACGATGAGGAGATGGAGGTACTGTTTGAGAGAGTTTTTTTTTTTTTTTGGGGGCAGGGGGAGACTGAATTTATATATTGAGAGTGAGTTTGACAAGGAGGTTATTTTCTCAGATTTTTTTCTTTTCTTTTTTTTTTAAAAAAATTTATTTTAATTGGATGAAACGGTATCATAAGTTTTAATAAAAATATGGATGGAGCAACTTTTAAGTTTTATAATAATTAGAATATTTGGAAAACGTGGATTATAAAAGAGGATAATGATTCCCTTTTTTAGAAAAAGATAATCCGTCCCTTTTTTTTGTTTTTTCTTTTTTCTTAGGGATTAGGGTGAGAGAGTTTTAAGCAGAGAGTAATATTTGAAATTTTAGAAGAAACGTGATTTTTGTTTTAAATAGGTTATAGAATATAGATTATAGATATGAGACCGGGAATCCTAACGTTACTTGAGAACCTAAGAGGGGAATAAAACACCAGAAAAAAAAGGGAAAAGTGGTAATTTTAATGAAGAAAATTTGAGGTAATCTCAATAATAAGTAAAGTCGTGAAGATAATAAAGATATTAAACCTATCAACCTTCATCAGCATCACATTGGTCTGCATAAAAATCATAATGAAACAACATTGCTAGCTAGTGTAAACGAAGGGCCAATTAGTTCTTACATCAGCATATATATTAATAAAATCATATACTATTATTATTCTATAGTGAATTCCAGCAAATTAAACTATTTTGAGTTTTCACTTAGTGAATTCTAGAAAATTAACGTAAGCTAGATTAAAACAATCAATTGTAATTGACATGCTTCATGTAATTCGCAAATTTTACTCTATAGTGACTGTCTACGTTCAGCCTCATGATTTAACTCATGAATAGTGCAATATAATCTAAAAGTTAAAACCTTCCTATTTTTAGTATAGATATTAACCACATCGGGAAGTCTTGTATTTACACATGACACATTTAAATTAATACTCGTAGGACTATATTATTAGTTTTCACCATCTCAGTTTTGCGTAAAAATTGCATCGAGCAAACTGATGTACTCTTATAAATTAATGAAATGCGTCGACATTTTTAATCGACAAAACGATTAATTTCCCATCGACTGATTCAATTGAACTTAATCATTTTTTCTTTTAAAGGAATGTTAATGTAGGATGCATGGATATATGGAGTACTGATGACTTGGAGTCATGAAGATGATAAATGATTAATGACTAGTCAATTCTTAGGAGTGTAAAGCTAACATTTGGGTTTCAAAATGTAGGCACCCAATAGTTGACTTTGTTCGCCAACTTCAATTGTATTTTCTCCACTTCGCATTGAAGTTGGAGAAAAACATAGCTTTCAGAAATAAATAATTAATTCGAACTAAGACATCTTATACATCCTCCCTACAATTCAAATATCCCCATAGGAACATAACTCAATATTACAGTAGATAAAACGACACGTATGAAATCATTTTTTGTATGCCGTAAAAGAAGGATTTGAATATAAATGGCAGATTTGGACTCAAACCAATACAAACATTCCAAAAAATAAATCCTCCATTTTTCAACTCCGACTCCCAACAGCATTGATGAGTCGATGGTTGATACCACCACCACCACAAATTCATTGGTTTTGTTAGTATCCATTCCTATCATCCTAACAATGATGTGCCCTAAATTTTCCTATAAAAGGCATAGTTTTCTTTTCAACTTTTGCAACAAGTTCATAAAATCTGTTTAAGAAAAAAGTAGAGAAAGAAAAAATTAAGAATCATGGGTTCCAAGGCATTCATTTTGGCTTGCATAGCCTTATTGGTGGCTACAATGATCACCTCCGAGGTGGTTGCTCGGGAGCTGACTCAGGGTATGAAATTAACTTTTTCTTTTATCCTTCTCAGATTTACAGTATTTTGTCCTTTGTTACATAGAGAAATGCTAATCTTTGCGATTTCCATATTGATATAATGTGCAAAAAAAACAGATGAAGTGACTAGAGAAGTTGAGGAATCCAAGTATAATGGAGGCGGATATGGAGGGGGCCGTGGAGGGTACGGTGGCGGCTACGGAGGAGGACGTGGAGGATACGGTGGTGGTTATGGGGGTCGAGGTGGATATGGTGGTGGATATGGTGGCGGTTATGGTAATGGTGGTGGGTACGGTGGTGGTCGGGGAGGTGGATATGGCGGTGGATACGGTGGTGGTCGTGGTGGTGGGTATGGCGGCGGTTATGGTAACGAGGGTGGATATGGCGGTGGACGTGGCGGCGGATACGGTAACGGAGGCGGTATTGGTGCCAACGTTGGTGAGGCCAATGAGCCCTAAACTTAGCAGCATGATGAATATGTACTTCCATCTAGCAGGCTCATGGTAGCACTGTGCAATAACTTTTGTATTACTATTTTATGATATATGAAATGCTATAAACCTGAATAAGAACTATCTTTCGGATTAAGTTATCTATGATTGATTTCGAAAATTTTTAAAGTATTATTCCAAAAAAACAAACCTCGACCCCCCAAAAAGAGGGAAAAAATTAAGATGTAATTAATGATGTAATTAAGAGGACAAGCGCGTTTTCCGTGCTTTCGATTTAGTAGAGATATTTAAAGTTTTTAGTGAAAAATTATACTCCCTCCGTCCCATAATTTTTGTCCACTTTGCCCAAAAAATTTTGTCCCAAAATTATTGTCCAATTTGACTTTTTATGGATCAAGTTACACATTTGTCCTTAGTAAAGAACATTATCCATAAAATCTTAGGGGTTAAACAATTATTTATGTAGGGGTATATCCGGTTGTTTAAGGTAAAATATAGTTAAGTTTGGCTAAAAATAAAATCTTTCATTTTAGTAAAAGTAGACAATAATTATGGGACGGAGGAAGTACAAGTAATTTATGTCACACATATTTGAAAAATACTACTCTCTCTGTGGCAAAAAAATTGTCCACATTGAATTTTTAAATTTGTACTATAATTAGTACAAATCTCAAAACTCAATATGGACTATTTTTTTTTAGACGAAGTTAGTATATTATTTTTGTTTATTTTTCTAAATGTTGTACCTCCTTTCTTAAATTCTCAGCACCATGCGTAGCTGGATGTAATTGTCCCAGCTGCGTCCTACATTAATATACCAATAATGAAACAGTTGGGACGCAAACATAAGGTGCAAAAATTGATTATTGCAACGTCGCACAAGATGGTATTAAATCCGCAGTTTTCTTTTCTACTCTTAAAAGCAGGTCATAGGAATCTTTTATGAGAGGATCAAGATACATGATGAAAGAGCTTCGTTTGAAGATAAATGTATTGGCTTGATTAAGGCTCACTCAGATCTAAATATGATGAGTCGATGCGGAGAAAATCAAAACTGAAGGTAGAGGGATGTAATGAATGATCAAGCAATGAATCTTGATGATTTATAGATCTTTGGAGGAAGACCTATACAAATTGAAAATTTCCTAGAAGATCTCTCTCATCCCAATAAGACAAATTAATGGATTTGGCAATCCATATTCTTTTGGAAATTTCTTATACAAAGAAAGGCGACAGTTAAGTTTCTTGGCTAATTCTACATTCATTTGAGACAAATGAATATTCAGCTCCGAACCACATTATCTTTGTGGCGCCTAAACTAGAAACGAATATTCCTCTTGCCAATGTATTAAAGAAAATGGGAAATTCGGCTTACGTCACACTTGCTTCGACTGCACATACGCCAAATACGTTTGGAATTTCTTTGGTACCCGACCAAAATGTCGAAAGTGGTAATGAAGCACTTATCCTTTGGTGGCAAAGCGGACATAAAGCAAAATTGTTGAGGAATCAAATAACGATCTCTCCTCAATCCTAGCGCTTGTGAACATTTGCCTGCGACTAGTAGTTACTCAAGAATTTAATTGTACATTAACCGTGGGTAGAAATGACATAATTAATTTTTCGTATTTACTAAATATTTTCATTTCATAATTTAGACTTTTGCCTTTCTTATGAAAAAAAAAATTAAAAAAAATGGCACCTTGTTCAAACTACAACTTACTCTTTGACATAATATTCGGCAATTCATGACCAGTATCATATCAATATATGATGATACAAAAATTTAGAAACTATAATCATTACAAAAGAAGGATTGTGGATTTAATAAACACATATAAAGGCTTCAAACCAATTTCCTTGATAGTCTTAAACAAACAGCTTTTTCCTCGCAGTGGTCACAAAAATATCAGTCAATTTAATGATTAATAAAATCAGCCAAAATATTCATCAATCCTCCAAACCTAGAACTACAATACCCCGTAAATAAAAGGTAATAGAAACAAAAAGAAAAAAAGGTTAAACGCATACCTGAAACGTCCAAGAAAAATAGAGAAATAAGAGGAAAAAAAAATTACCGTGGGAATTCGTCTCTGGGAGTCGGATTTAGTGAGGGAATCTAGACATAAGTTTTTGGTTAAGAAGGACAAAATAAAAAATAAAAAAAAATCCTAATATCGATATTGAAGATATTAAAAAAAAATCTTAAAAGAGTTCTATTTTATTAGCTGATCACTCAAAAAAGAAAACAGTGTGAGTAGAATTATGTTATGAAGTAATAAAGTTATTTAAAATAAATTATTCAAATTGATTGATGCTTTGCACGTTGATTTAATTAGTGACATTAATCACATATGTACGCTTATGTGGCATTCACGTGTTGATCAAAGAAATATATACATTTGAAGGGCATGATTACTGATTATAAAATGTTTTTCATACATGGAGCGAATTTAAAATAAGTCCAATAACATTAAACTATTTTGAATTTTCACTTACTGAATTCCAGCAAATTAACGTTAGCTAGATTAAAACAATCAATTGCTATTAACATGCTTCATGTATTTCGCAAATTTTACTCTATAGTGACTGTGTGCGTTCATCCCCACGAATTAACTCATGGGATAGTGCAATATAATTTAAAACCCTCCTTTTTCTGTGTAGAAATTAACTATATCTGTGACGATACCGAAATTTTGACGTGCTTTATTCTGACCAGCAATCAGTGAATTTACATTAAGGAAGTTAAACTAAATCTAACAATATATATTTTGAGTTAAATTATGAAGATTAGCTCATTTGTATTGTTGTTCCAAAACCTAGCTTCTAGTAAGTTTCCTAACCGCTTAACCTAGAAGTCTTTGACTCATTTTTATTTTAAAATACTCCTCTGCCTTTCCAATTTCCAGAACTCGTTTGTTCAACTTATTTTTTTTAAAAAAAGATAATTATCAGATATCATTCAATATTTTTGTCAAATAACCGACCCAATTTGAGGATTGAGTTCAGCTTACTCTTACCATTTCCCCAAAATCAATACTCCGTATTTTTTTTTTATCATCCTCATGTCTTCACTTGTGACACCACCGCCCAACATCCTCTCACTCTCCCATTCCCACCACACTCTCGTTCACCATTTAAATTTTCCTAAATCCGTAAATTAGTTAAATTAGAGGAGGAAAGGAAGCTGGGAATTATCTACTTTAATTAAAGAAGGAAAGAACGGAGGACCTAAGGTAATTGGTTTATAGTTAGTACTTCTTGTAGCTACTGTCTTAAGAGTATTGATGGCTATATTTCAATTTTGATTATTGAATTAATGTTAGGAAGAGTGAATTGAATAGGGGAGCTACCGTTGGGTCGATTTCGGTTCGGCGGATAGCTCTTTAGTTTGATTTTGCTGCTGATTTGATGTCTATTGTTGTTGATTCTGATTTTGTCATTTACTGTTGAATTTAATGAGATAAAAATGTTTGGGAATCAAGGCTCATGACCTGAATATAAAGGAGAAAGAAAGAGGAATGTTAGTTGTTCTTATTTGTATTGTTTTTGTCAAAGTCACCTTGGGCTCCAATCTCAAAACCAATTGGCAATGAGTGAGGTGGCCTTTGGCACTTATAAATAAGTGACAGATCCTCCACGATACCGATGTGGGATTCTTTTTTCTCCACACCCTCCCTCAAGCCCAATGGGGTATTTGGCCCATTGGGGTTGCACAACACAACATAATTCACCAGATATACTACTGGGTCAGTGAACAAACTCGTATACACGGGTACATACTCCGAATATACTGTCGGATCAGTAACAAGCCCACCCGTGTGCACAGAAGCGATTGACGCAAGTCCAAGATACACGGATCCAAGCCCGCACACGCGGATCCATAGTTATCACAGGTCCACAAATCGTGGGCTCTGATACCATGTCAAAGTCAATTTGGGTTCCCATCTCAAAACCAATTGGGTGTGAGTGGGGTGGCCTTTGACACTTATAAACAGGTGACAAATCCTTCACGACACCGATGTGGGATTCTTTTTTCCCAACAGTTTTTCATTAAACTGATTGATTGGCATGTGAAGGTGTTAAGGTTGTTGGTTGCTGCTCTTGTCTTTCATTCTCCAGTCCATTTTCCTTTATTTAAGTGCAGTAGCTGAAGGTTGATAGTGGTGAAAACGTTGGGTTCTTTTGTCATGGTTGTTGCCGGTTTTTAACTAAATAGTAAAAATGGAATGGATGCTATAATATGATGCTTCTGTTTTGTGTTTGACGATGATTTTGTTTTGCTCTTACTTGCTGATTTAATTGATAAAAGGAATGAAAACAAAGAAGCCGAGAAGTTTTGAGTTTGGTTCCTGGATTTTAAAAGAAAAGAAAGAAACGTGAAGGTGTGTACTTTGGCTGGTAGCTAGATATTGTGAGTCTGGGGCTTTGAAACTTTTAAGGGAATGAAACTAAGACTTAGTTTAGCTTTTCTCTTGAGTCTTTAGTTGGTTTAGAAAAAGAAATCTGAAGCTAAAATATGTAATTCTTATATTGTTGTTGTATTTAATCTACAGATCAAGCGTACGAGGAAGACGAGCTTCCTTATAATATTTGTGAGTCATCCTCACTATTTTTAAAAGTATTTTCAAAACTGGGAGCAGAAATATTTACAAAGGACACTCCACCTCACATAAGCACGTTTTTAAATTTATTAAAATGTACAAATGAATGCTACTGTATGATCCAGAGTGTACTTCATTGCCTTGGATTATTTGATTACATATATGCGGATGTTTTATAGCTGCTTAAACTTGACTTTGACTATGTGTTAATGTGATGAACTAAAGTGGTAGAGTGTAATTTGTGTGATTGTATGGTGCTGTGGTAGACAGTGATATGTGTTATTTTGTACTTGATTGAAATGTCATTGATTATGACAATGTCCAAAGTGATACAAGAAAATGACATCTAGGGGTGTACTTTATCACCCCCAATGAAATGAAATGTAGCAAATGATTGAATTGAATGATTGAATGCCAATGTGTGTTTGTTGCTCGGGTGACTAACGTTGCTCGAAGCCTTGACCCATTGCCTTGGTTTGTGCAAAACCTTGCATGCCGGCATGGGCTTGATGTTAAAGTTAGCCGCCTCGGCTAGTGAATGTGGTACTCATGAGTATCTAGTGGTGGCGCTAGTATTGGCCACAGGGGATACAAGGTGTAATGGTGGCGCTAATGTTGGCCATAAAAGAGCAATGCTACAGTGCAATAAAGCGA